AGAGAGAGAGAGAGAGAGAGAGAGAGAGAGAGAGAGAGAGAGAGAGAGAGAGAGAGAGGAAAAAACTCGAATAAATGAGCGAGTGAATGAACAAACAAACAAAACTTTTCCGAGTTTATGTTTAAATTTGATTTTCCATTGACAATTCCACGCCAACTTCTTTATTCAGAGTCAAGCATTTTCTTCGAATTTTAAATAAATACGGATGAAAAAATTTCTGATAGTGTGCACAGTGGTGCCAAGCCGAGATGCCTATCACGAATCCAATTTAGCGGATTGATTTTTGAAATGGTTACAAACGATTACCTGACGCGTATTTCGTTCAACGTTTCTCACCATCATGGCATCGCTTATTTTCAGCACCACATCATCAGCACACTCAGTTTACGTTGGTTTTCATGGAAAATTTGTGCGATTTCTGAAGTGAATATTCAAGTGAATTTCTAATGAAATCACAACACAACAATGATTACGATAAGTTGCTTCGGACGTGGCAAGTGATCGATGACGTGGTAATGAAAAGCATTCCTTCGCTTAATTTTATTGGGCCAACTCAACATCAACAATCGCTAAAACATCAAGTGTATTCCATCATTTATTGGCCCATTCACTTGGAATACATTGGAATATATGAGATGAATGGTCTCATCAAAATCGATAGATAGACATATGAACCGAAAGAAAGAGAGAGAGGGAGATAGAGATAGATAGAGAGAGACCAACTCGAACAATTACTTATTTATTCGATGTATTCATCGTTCTATTGTCGGTTATTTATCCATTTGAGGCGAACAGAATGGTGAAAAACAAATTCTTCATTTTTAGTCACTTCCAATTGGATGCGATTATTCTTGCCAGTCTTTTCATTTTTCTTATCTTTTTCTTCGTGCGATTCAGTGTGTATGTTTTTTAGCGTCTTCTTTTATCTATCGCTCACTTATTTTTTTTTGCCGTCAGTCTTGTAGATTTTCTTCTACAGTGTTCGGACAATATTCCATGTGTGTGGTGAAAACGCCGATGCTTCATTTTCTACATGTGTTTGAACCACTATTCACTTTGATTTTTATGCTACAAATGAACACATTGCTTTCCAATGTTAGAGAAACATAGAAACACGCACACGAATATACCAATTTCGAATGCATACCAAAGCTTAATCTCAGCGACAGCAAGTTTCAAGCACATCAGAAAGACGGAATAAGTCGGAGAAAATAAAAAAGAATCAACTTATTCATTACATGAAATGTCGATGATATCGAGTGAAAATGAGTTTGATAACAAAGAAATAAGCCGATGAAAAGTCTAGCAGGGAATAATAATAACAACAACACCAACTGACATGTACAATTCAATCGTGTCTCGACACAAAAGCCAAAGAATTATTAGCGAAGCAGAGAACAAAAAAAATGTGAATGGTAAAGGGGAAAAAGTTGCGAATTTTTTTCACTTTCTCTCTCCCTCTCTCTCGTTATAGTGTTTTGCGTCAAATGAAAATCAGCAAGTTTGGTCTTTATAAATATTTCAATATTGTTGCGGTTTCTTGTCAGCTTTTCTTTCGGCATTAGACAGACACATGTATGGGTTCATTTTTATATCGTGCGTACAACTGCCAATGTTTTGATTTCGGTTTCTATTCAAAGAGATCGATTTGTACAGTGTCATTGAATTTACTGTTTTGAACTGAGCCATATATACGGCCATTGCTTCTTGCAGTTTCTTTAAAGGTTGATTGCACGCACGAAACGTTGTATGCATTGATTGAGCATTTGTGGCTCATTTGAAAATGACGATTCTCTCTCTCTCTCTCTCTCTCTCTCTCTCTCTCT